ATGATTGTATATGTTTAATGAAGTAACTTATATACAATAAAATAACCTATGTAACCTGCCTAATTGTTATTTTGCTTAATTGTGATTTTTTTTAATTTTTTGTCAAGTTAAAAATTGCACGTTATTGGTTAACTTTAAAACAGAAAACATTCCTATACATTTAATTTTGCTGACCATAGGTTAAATTCATATTTTAATCTTTTATGTGCAAATACTACATTACAATTATGGTAATCGATTGTCATTGATTAAGTTGACTATTAATAGCAAATTTTTAATATTAAATTCATTTTAATTAAATTTGATTTGAATTGTCACACTTTCTTGAAGTGTTGCACTTACTTTCCTCGCCAGCGATAATCCTCCTCCCCTAATATATGTACAATATGTACAATTTTACAACAAATATATATTAAGTAATATCATAAAATGAAACAGAAAATATACAACAATAATTAAATGAAATTAATCTGGAACAAAATATTAGATAGATATTTTACAAAACAACAAATTTTTTGAAATAACAACAATTACCTCATGGCCTTGGTATTTGTTTCTGTGCGACGCATTGTGTTTATGCACTGTCGGTGTGCTATTATTCAATTTTAAACTCTTATTCTGGCAGATCAGTGCCACTCTTCCTACCTTTAGTATTTTTTTTTTAGATTTCACAATTGTGATAAGTGCTTTATAATACGAAATGTCATATTTTACACAATCGTTCACTGTATACAATTACTGGTTGGCAGTTGATTCCTTAAATGGATCAAGATGACAATCATATATTACAGATGTTTCATATGATTCAGTCGTTTAGAATTACGAAAATAGAATTATAAAGAATAGGATTTATAATTGTTTTGCGGCATTATTTTTGGTTAATACGAAATTTATCTTCCGTTTGTATAATAACTTTCTCTATATACTTTAAACTGTATCATATCCAGTGAGAAATAACAATGGAATCGATGTCAAATCAACGTCGATTCAACATCAATTTGATGATTTTAACGTGAGGTTTCATCTATCCTGATATTACACTCCAAAAAAGGGATTGAGATTTTACTCTTTCGGAGTGAATATTATGTCAAAAAAGTAAATCTCACACTAAAAAGAGTAAAAATCTGCTACTCTTAAACAAGAGTAATCGCATTTTCTCTCTTTTTCCAAGATAGACTAAATTTTTCAGTCTCTTCGAGTGAGATTTCACTCTACGAAAGTAAAATGAATATAAAATTCAATGCGCCTAAAAACTATGAAACATTGATATTTTTGAGGATATGTTTAATTAGAATCTTATGATTTTGTGTTACAGTATTATTTTAATTACGGTTAAAAACTTCGTTGTTGCACATTGGAATGGTGATAAAAATAAATTATTAAAATATTTACATCACAAATTGGATTTATTAAATTTTTTACCAATATCATTTAGGAATTTTATTCTGACAAAACTGTTGCATTATAACGAATCATTTTAGCGCAATTGCGAAACTTTTTGTCAATCCATGCTGCCATTATTGTGGAATTTTTTCATAATTTATCCATCGCCATGAAGATAAAGACTTTTCAAAAGTATGTAAATAACGATAACTTGTACGAGTATCGTAACGGTTACTGTGTTATTCTTTTGACGCTAATTATTTGTTGAACAAAAGAACATCACATAGGTGCTTGTTTTATCATCGTTCCTTTATTTCCATTGGGTTTATTGCTTGATTGAAGGATAAATCTGCATGAGTTTAATATTGAACAAGCTTCTGCAGTTACCTAAGACTTTAATGCAGGTACAAAGCCTGTGATGAATGAATAAATGGATGTACTAATATAGTTATATATAAAGCCTGTAGTTATATATAAAGTACTTCTGTTCTGTATGTATCATTTTGAGACTGGCTTTAGAAAACGGCACAGTGAAACAAGTGTTTAAGAGAAATAAACGACTGAAGTCAAAGACGAATAACTTACAGGTTAGCCACTTTATTATGTTGATCAACCCTTCATCATTATTAAATTTTTGTTCTCTTGACACTAATATTCAGTCAGAGATTATTTAAGAAAATTTTAAATGAAGTCATCTAAAAATCGTAAATATTACAGTTAATTCTTTGATATATATTGAACTTCAAAAATATAAGATCATTGTTACAATAATGCAATAAAGCAAGCTAATAAAAGCATGATTAGCCTAATTTGTAGAAAAATCTAGATAACAAAATTTTAAGGTACATAGATACGTTATATATGATTAGAGCTAAAACGTAATTATGTTAATAACGCATTCAAACACCAGCATTGATAATTGATTGATTATATGATAATAATCTTAAATTTGGCATTAATCAATTTGATTAGCCGTCTGACGCAAATTCTAAAATGTGTGGACATATATTAATATCATAAGCTTTGTAGAATGCAAATATTCAATTAATACAATTATTTCGAGAGATTCGCAGATATGGAAATCCTGGCCGCATGAAAACACTATTAAAAAACCCACTTGCGTATTTAAAAAAAAACGTTCATAAAATATTCTGGAAAAACTGTGATGCAATAGATGCATTCGGGGAATGCGCTATCAGTGCTATTTGTATCATGCTATTCTGGTCTAATGGACGATGAAGATAAAATGCCACAAATAGTTTTAATAGCGTCATCCCGAACGCAGCCATTGTATGTCGGACGAACTAATAGATGCAGTTGAAGACCTGAATTACTGAACACACATCAGAATTTACATCAGAAAAAATACAGCTACTCATTCAGTTAGAAAATTATCACAGATTGTATCATGATCATGATTTTAAATGGAATTACGTTAAAATTTTAGATGTTAAACAAAATTACGAGAAACAACTGATTTCAGAAATAACTACATAATAATAAGCGATAAAAGAATGGCAATTCATTAATTTCAATTCATATAGAATTGCGTAATTAATAGTATATCATTGTCGCTTATTGTTATATGTTTACTAATTATTTATATTTTCTGATAATATTTTTTTCTTTGACCATTCTAATCTTAATGATGATTTTAGATTACAAATTACTCTATCACACAAAATTGTTATATCATAATTTCAATTCCGTATTGTATTTCTTCATTGTATACTCTTTTTCTTAAATAGGAGAACTGTGCATTTCTTTTGATATATTTTTTGTTGAGTGCCGTCTGCGTTTCTGAAGTCATTCTTGATCCTTAATTTATCCCGATCATCAATTATCTTTTACACGATAGAATTAATTTCAAGGACTTCATAGAATTTATTTCAACTCTTACTTGAGACCATTCAGTTTTCTAATTAGTTATGAAATGAAGATTGCAACAATTTGTATCTACATTTTTACTGCGCTCATGAAAATTAAGAAATAGTAGTATAATAAATACGAAATATATGCCTTTTATCATATAATTTAGTCGTTTTTTTATTACATGACTAAATGTCAAATAGTTTTTTTAAAACGATTAAATATAATTTTTTGTAATGAACAATTAGCTCACTAATTATAGCGTTAACTGCTAGAAGATCTAATTTCATCCTTTTTATTCGTAATTTACAAAAAATTGAATAGAAAAGAAAGATTAAACATTTTGTTATAACAATGTACAAGGGTCCAAATAATAAATCAATAAATAACAAATTGAACATTAACTTAATTGGCATCAAGATTAACTAAAAAGAATAAAAAATTAATTGAAATCCCTGATACGCGAAAGACTTGTCGAAAACTTTTTCGTATATATCACAAATATTACAATCGACTAGATCTCAACGTATATGTATGATTTAACTAAAAAAAACAAAGAAAAATCGATTCTTAATTAACACGTTGATCTCAAACGTAAGAAAATATATAATTTCAAATGTCCATTTGAAATATGGACGGACACAAAGAAAGAAAATGATAAAAATGAGTAAAATAAATTATCAAAAAAAATAGCGAGGATAGATGAAGGAAAGAATGGAAAGATCGGAATAAGTATTTGTTAAGAATTGGCTGAAAAAAGAGAAAAAAAACATATAAACAATAAATTTCGTTCAAATAAATTATTGTAAATATTATTTTTTTTAGTATGATGGCAAGGACAATGATTTGTCAAAAAATTCTCCAATTCCATTTTCAGATATGGCATTAGAGACATTGACATGGTTGAATCTAAGCTTCGTGGAAAAGATTCTGCGAAAATCGGAAGATGACGAATCGATTCAGATGATCGATATATGTTTGGAACCAGCCACGAGCAAGGGTGACAACTACACCAGCGACATGATCAGGATTACTGCCGAATATTCGCGCGATCAAGGCAGCTGTAGTATTAAAGAGAAAATATCAATTATCCTTAAAATCTTGCCTGAACTCGGAAGTGTCCGACAAAAATTTGTAAGTTGCTTTAATATATATAATATTTCGAATTTAGAGAGAAAAAAGAAAGGAAAAAAGAAACAGAAAGAGAAAGAGAAAGAGAGATAAATCTGTGGCATGTTTTATTGTTTTGGAGTACATTTCTATTCCACAGAAAGATTAAAATAATTATTCTTGGGTAATCAGTAATTAAAATAAAGTTATTTTTATATAAATCATTTTTAAAAAAGTGGATACACATGCATATATACAAAAAAAAATTTTTATTTGTTTAAAAATAAATTTAAAATTTGAAAATACGTAGTACAAATCTTATATAGTAGAGAGTATAGACCTTTATATAAAACATAATTGCATATTTGTTAGATTAAAAGATTCCATTTATTAACCTTGAATAAACTTGTTGCAGGTCATAGAATCAGGTCTTTTTCATATCGAAATGTTGATGATGTCAAATACATTGGATAAAATGAATAAGTTGTTAGAGCCAAAATATCGTTTGAGCGCGAAGATTCTCTACGTGCAAAATGAAGATCCAATGTTTCTGGCGATCGAAGATCTCGCGTCTCTCGGCTTTCAAATGGCCAATCGTTTGTCTGGTCTTGATCTAGATCATTCCATATTGGCGCTTCGCAATCTTGCCAGATTTCATGCAGCCTCCGTAGCCCTATGCGAGAAAGTAAATCACTAAGCGAATCAGTCGTAACATTAATAATAACTCGTAATGTCGTTGCATTAATAATAACTCAGATCATGGCACAGATGCAAAGACTATTCTCTTTCAGAATGTCTTTTTAATATGTGTGTTGTCTGAGCTATATCATAATTTTCTTTAAAAAAAAAATTTGTTTTAAATTTGTCAAAAAATTGCATAATATTAAAATTATTGTATAGATATTTTGTATATTGTGATGTATATAACATTCCAAATTTCCAGTCCGCAATATTGTTTAACAATTTATAATTTATATCGAATGTATAAATGTTCTTTAATTACAATATTTTAATATTTAGGAGCCAAAGCAAAAAGAAATGTATTCGAAAGGACAATTTAACAAGCAACAATCACCAAAAATGAAGGATATTTTCATTAAGTGTACTAAAGGTTTAGCAGAAGAGATTGCACATTGGCCTGAAGTAAAACAGTAAGATTTGCGTAAACGATAATATTTATTGCTCTATTTTTTAATATTCATGATAACATTTTATATGATACAAGATAAATATTTAATATAAAAAAACTGAACATTAAGCAGAAAATGGCAAATACAAACATTATATATATTATTACTCATAGTGAATTTATACGACTTTTACATAATTTCATACAATTTTGTATTTATTTCATTTGTATTAGATACTCGGACAAAATAGCTAAACTCTCCGATCACATATATCAAATAGGAATAGATGCAACAAAGCTTTGCAAAGAAGAATTTAATGTTATTACTCATGGTGATTTTCACGTGAACAATATGTTGTTCAGGTATAACAATGATGGCAAACCTATTGATCATATTTTTGTAAGTATTATCATATATATTTACGTTGAAAATATATTTTTTCAATTTAGACAAATGAAAATTTTATCATACAATTAAATGTAACGAAGTTCAGTTATTTTATTCCATTGATCTACATTTCTGAATTTTTATAATAATTTTTATAGTGTGTAATAATAATAAATTTAAATAAAAATAAACAAATTAAATAAATAGACAAAAATTATAGTACAAATGCATTTTTTAATTATTCGAAATGTCGAATTTAGCGATCAAATAGGCGATGTGATAATAGGAGAAACTTGGAAACACGATATGTATGAATAATGCAATGACCTCAGACGTTTAATCGCATTCAGCTATACTCAATTTATTTTCTGTCCAAGTCGTCCGCACAAATTATAAATCTTATTGCTGAAATTTCTAAATATAACATTTCTAAACATAATGTCTCACTTTCGGAATGAATAGATTTCATTTCCAATCCAATATTTTATCGAGAATTCGAAAGAATTCGAAATTGATCGATAGAATTCATCAGATTCATTTGATTACAGGTAGATTTCCAAATGTGCGTTTACGCAACGCCGGCACTCGATTTATTATTTTTTTTTAATACATGTCCTTCCTTGGATATTATGGAAAACAAGAAAAATATTCTATTAAATGAATATCTTAACACCTTATTGATGACTATGAAGGAATTGAATTGCAAGACGCCGCCGCCTACTATGGAGGAACTGAAAGCTACCATGAAGCGAAAAGCTGACTATGGAATGATAATATTCTTCGTCGTTTTACCATTTATGCTGTGCTGTAAGACTGAGGCAAAAGAATTGGATGAATTATGGAGCATTGGTATAAATCCAGGTATCAAGAACGAGATTTATAAAAAGTTACTAATAAAAAGACTGCCACTATATGACGATTGGGGTTTATTGGATCTCTAATATACTTTATCTTTAGTGATAAAAAACAGAAAATAGAAAAGAAATAAATCTGGATAATAAATGAAAATATTAATATTTATAGCAAATGCAAAAAAGTTATAACAAAGAATGTTGATACATGACTTTTTAAAAAGGTGATTACCATTGAGTTGGTATAGTGTAGAGTTGTATAATGTATATAATAACAAATCTTTTGATTCAAAAAATAAAAAATTATTTTCATAATGATGTTTTATTTTTATTTATTAAAGTTTTAAAATAAATTATTTTTATGTATTATATCATTGCATCACAAAGATAATGGTATATATAGACATATAAATATATTTATTTTGTGTATAATATATCTAATTCATGTATTAGTAAAATAAGTAATGTTACTAAAAGAGTACATAATATTATTTTATAATACTATTATATAAATATTTTATAGTATTATTTTATAATACTATTGCAAAAATGATATAGAAATTATTTAAAATACAAAATGAAGTATTTTGAGTTGTATTAATATATTGCGTTAGGGAAAAGTCTCTGTACTCATAGATTAATTAAAAAGGAACATTCTGACTTTATTACTTTAATAAATTTCATTAAAAATCGTCGTATCGGTATTAAAAATATGAAATATTGCTCTATCAAATGGTTGTCAATTTTTTAAAAATAGAATATATGGGTTGCTAAAAGATTTTTTACCAACTTGTAAAAAGATTTTTTTCCTTAACCCAATATACATAATAGACATAAGAAAACTTGAAAGAAAATTCAAAGTAATAAATAATATAAATAATATATTGTATATAACTGAATGTGATTGTATGGTAATAAAATAACCTATGTCCTATCTAAACATGTAATTTTTTTAAATTTTTTTGTCGAGTTTGAAATCGCAAGACGTTATTGGTCAATTTTAAAATAGAAAACATTCCAAAACCATGAGTTAAATTCATGTTCTGATCTCTTGTATATAAGCACTTCATTATGATTATGGTAATTGATTAAGTTGATTATTAACAGTAAATTTTTAATATTAAATTCATTTTAATATTGAATTTGATTTGAATTGTCGCAAGTGCACTTATTTTTCTCGCCAGCAATAATCCCCATCCCCCAATGCATACAATCTTACAGTAAGTATATCTTAAATAATGTCAAACGATTCATAAAATGAAACAAAAAATATGCAATAATAATAAAGTAAAATTAATTTGGAACATATTTGATAGATATTTTACAAAATAACAAATTTTTTTGAAATAACAGCACAATTAACACGTAGCCTTGGTATTTGTTTCCGTACAGCGCATTGTATTTACATTCTGTTGGTGTGCTGTCATTTAACTTTGAACTCTTGTTGTTCGGCAGATCAGTGCCAGTCCGATTATTTTCAGTTTTTTTTTTCAAAACGCAATTGAGATAAGTATTAGATAATACGAAACGTCATATTTTTATACAATCTTTCACTATACATATAATTACTAGTGTGCACTGATTTCCTAAATGGATCGAGATAACAGTCATTTATCACAGACAATCATATATCACAAATATTTCATATTGTTCAATCATTTAGAAACACGATAGAGAATAGGACTTGTAATTGTTTTGCGATAGTTATTTTTGGTTAATGCAAAAATTTTCTTCCGTTTGAATATATCTACACACTTTGAACTGTATCATATGAATCATAAATAAAATAATGTTAATAAAATATATTCTTATGCGAATAACGCAATATTTGTGATTTTAAGTAATGCAATTTGTAATTAATGACAATTTAATTAATTTAATTAATTAAATAATTTCTCATCTTCATGCGTCTTTCGCGATATCGAGCATAAAAATTGAATGTAACCTTGTGATTGTTTGCTAGCAATGACAATAAACTGGTAATATAGATCAAGAAAGAATTTTTTTCCATCTTATTGATATCTGGCCTATTCAACTAAAGTCATAATCGAGAAATTTTTCTATCTTCCATTATCTTACATTATTGAAACAGTGGATTTATGTTAAAAATACATTTTTTTTATTTAAAAATATGTAAATTTTATTATGAATACAATTTATACGTAACATATCTCAGTCACTTTATTTCATTAATCTACATTTTTAAATTTTTATGACAATTTTTATAGTTGTGTGCAATAATAAAAATTTAAGTACAAATAAACAAAATGAATAGATAATAATTTAAAAGAGAAATGCTATAATACTAATGTTATAATACTAAAGCGTTGTTTAATTATCTACGCAATATACTCGTAGTGATCAAGACAAACAGGCGATAGCAGAAAATACTTGAAAATGCAATATGCTATGAATAATGCAATAACCAGCTATTTAATCACATTCAGCTATATATACTCATCTCTTTTTGATCCATGTCCGCACAAACTATCAATCTTGTTATGAAATGACATCGAAAGAATTCGTTTGATTACAGATAGATTTCCAACTGTGCATTTATACAACGCCGGCACTTGATTTGATATATTTTCTCAATACAAGTCCTTCCTTAAATGTCATGAAAAACAAGAAAAATATTTTATTGAACGAGTACCTTGATACCTTATCAGCGACTGAAACAATTGAATTGCAAGACGCCGCCGCCTACTATGGAGGAACTGAAAGCTACCAGCGAAAAGCTGATTATGGAATGATAATATTCTTCGTCGTTTTACCATTTATGCTGTGCTGTAAGATTGAGGCGAAAGATTTAGATGAGTTATTAAGCATTGATTTAAATCCAGGTGTCAAAAGCGAGAATTATAGAAAGTTAATGATAAAAAGATTGCCACTGTATGACAAATGGAGTTTATTAGATCTCTAATGTATATTTTATCTTTAGTGATAAAATATAAAAATGAAAATACAAATATAAATAAAAGAGCAAAATATAAATTGAAAAATATTATGTAATAGTTAATATAATAAGATAATGGGACTATCTACACAATGGGACACTAGATGGCCTATCTGATTTTTGTGATTTTTTCCAATTTTTTGCTGAGTCTGAAATTGCAAATTGTTGCTTAAATATTCAAAGGAGGAATCATTCTTAAATTCTTAATCATTCTTAATTTTTACAGTTAATTAATTTATATTTTGAGTTTTTATTTGCAAGCATTACGTTACAATTATTATGTTATGATTATTACAAATTTAATTATTATTATTATAAAATTAATTATTATAAAATTAATGTTGATTACGTTAAATCCAAATAGAAAATTTTATTGAATCCATCGAATTTGATTTAAGTTATTGCAAGTGCTGCACAGCTTTTCTAGTCAGTAATAATTTACTTTCCAATATTACCGCGATATAAGACTACGTGTATTGAAAATTGGGATTAAAGATTGAAATTTAAACAATCGAAACAAGAGAAACTAAAATTTTTTGCCCTCATTGATTAAATTTTAATTTTTAATCTTCAATCTTAATTTTTAAGGTGTAGTCTAATTCCGGCCTCACTTTTAGAGTAAGAATTATTACTGCACTGTCCGAGTTAATTTACAGTAAATAAGGAAAAAAAACGGCTTGTGAAAACAGAACTGAATTATCATCGGAAGCATATATCTTTTTATCTTAAACATTGTTATGTATGTTTGTATGTTTATTATATAATATTCCTTCTCCTTTTCCACAGAAGTTCCTCTCCTATCTAGATTTGCGGCTCTGTGTGATTTGCAGTTCTGCTTCCTCATTTCATTAGTTTTCATGCTTACACTGAGCAAAGCATTATACGTATATATACGTCAACATATTATACGTTCCCAATACATTCCCATATCAAATTACAAATAAAAATAATCTTATAATGTGAAGTGTTATTATCTTATCTTAGTTAATGGAAAGACTTGCATGAGTGAAAGAAGTTGCAACTGTAACGAGAGAATGTGATATTTTGCCAATAAGTTATCATAAAGAGTCGCTTTCGCGTTTTATTACGCGGTGAGAGAAATAATTTGTCGAAGAAATTCTCCAATTCCAATTCCAGAAATGACTCAAGAAACATCGACATGGCTGAATTTATGCTTTGTAGAGAAGATCCTGCGAAATTCGGAAAGTGATAATTCGATCCAAGTAACTAATATATATTCGGAACCAGCTACAAGCAAGGGTGACAATTACACTAGCGACATAATCAGAATAATTGCCGACTTTTCTTGTAATCAAGGTGGCTTTAAGAATACAAAGAGGAAATCAATCATCATTAAAAAAATCTCACCTATACTCGAAGGTAATCGAAAGAAACTTGTAAGTAATTTATATAATATTTCTAATATGAAAGAAAAGAGAAAAAAGAGAAATTAAATTATGGCAGATTTTATTTCATATAGATTTATATAGACCATATTTGAAGAAAACATTTTTTAGTTGTTTGAAAATAAATTTATATGTAGAATAAAATTATTATTTATTTGCCATTATTATTTCGAAAAGCCGAAACTTTTTATTACAAACTTTTTTTATATAGATCTTCATATTACAAAAAAAATTGAATATTGTTAAATTAAAGGAATTCCATTATATATGTTCTCCATAAACAAAAGATTCCATTTATTGATTTTAAATAAATTTATAGGTCACACAATCAGGTTACTTTCACAATGAGGCATTGATGATGTCAGACACCTTGGATAAAATGAATAAGTTATTAGGACCAAACTATCGCTTGAGTGGGAAAATTCTCTACGTGCAAAATGAAAATCCAACGCTTTTAGTGATCGAAGATCTTGCGCATCTAGGTTTTCGAATGGCCGAGCGTTCGTTTGGTTTTGATCTATCCCATTCCGTATTGGCACTTCGTGGACTAGCCAGGTTTCATGCAGCCTCTGTAGCCCTATGCGAGAGGATAAATCACCACATATGAGTTGTAACAATTAGTTGTAACGTCTCATTACAATTATTAAAAATTCAGGTCAAGCACGAATACAAAGATCATATCTAAAACCCAAATTTTTGTTTAAGATCTCAATACTAAACATAAAAATTATATATAAAACTTTGATTACATGAACATCTCATTGATATTGAGAGATTCTTTTTTATGCTGTATTGTTCAAAGTATCTATTAAAAAATATGATATATTGTAATCAAAAATATTCAAAAGTTACATATAATAGAAATTAACTTGAAGTGACACAACATATTAAAAATTTTATATATTTCAAAAAGTACTGCCGAGAAATAATTTTCAGTGAAATTTGTAAAGCTTTAGATTTTAGAATAACATTACTTACACTTAATACAGCTTATATAGACTCCCCTATAAAGAATTTTTAATTTTTAATTGTAATATTAAACACAAGAATTCCATTTTAATGCTATATTAAAACTTAAAATGCTGCGCCTTTTATTACATCCTATGTAGGTTTTGTTTATGAAAAATAAAACTCCATCGCGTTCAATAGTGATAATACCGCGTATTATCCGAATGATAAAAAGACTCCCACTATATGATGAATGGGATTTATTAGATCTTTAACGCATACTTCATCATTAGTAATTAAATATAAAAATTGAAAAGAAATAAAAGTAATAGACATAACTGTAGCGAATACATTAAAATTAAAAACAACATTTGCAAAATATTGATGCAAACAAACTTTTTTTTTAAAAAAGGAGGCATCGTGAAATTATTGTAACAGATTTTTTAGTTTAAAAAATCAAAATAATTTTTTCATAACAGTGTTTCATAACATTTTTGACTCATTTACGATTTTAAAATAATCGTAGTCTTTATATTGTATATTGTACATTGTATATGTATATGTATATTTAGATATTGTCGTTTTTTCGAATAAGTTTTGAACAAAACTGTATTAAATAAATAAAAAATATAGGAAAGAATACATATATATAAATTTTGATATACAACCTGATCAAAAATATTAGATATCTTATTAATCATTATTTAACGTTTAATTTAGTTAAAAAATTATTTTATGACATTTGCTATGAATTATCCTTTGTTTCAAGAAAGTTTTACATTCATATACAATGTCGGTAATTAATAGGAAATAATATAGTTACAGAATTTCAAATTAATGAAGAAAATGTAAGAACTAATATTTTTTACATACGATCGGTTTAATTTTGCATGCTAGTGTTTGACATTTAGTCGTCAATATCGGTTTAATATTCGAAAAAAAAATTATATTTTATATTTCCAATATAAAATATA